AACCTTTCTGAGACTCCTTCAGTTATGCTGATTGTGAATTCAGCTATTTTTGGAGTACGGAATTTTCCTTTCTTGCGATCAGGCTCATATTCTGTTTTCGTTTTGACCACAACCTTTTCAAAAGCAATAACAAAGCTGTTACTATTTTGTAAACCACATGCTACAGTTTATTTGCCTAAACTGGGCTAACCCAGATGTCGATAGAGGCGTTTTTTACTTACGGAAAAGTTTAAGTTTTCAATGCAATGAAAAGACAATTTCAAGTATTTCTATTTCTTTTTTCTACTTCTTTTTGCATCTAGCACAATATTAGTGCTAACTAAATAATTAGTAATTTTTTCCCCCATTACATATAATTCCCTCATGGAAGATATAGACCAATTTTTACTTACTGGTGTTTCCTTTCTCTCTGCTACATGCGTTTTTGAGCAAAATGAAGGCAACAGTTTTGGAAGGTTATTGTAAATGTTTGATGTTTGTTGCCACACCAGAAATGCAACTGGTTAGTTCAATATACTATTAGTTAAGACTTATACATGAAGATACTCACTCCCGTTACCACTTCTTTGGTATTTTTTAAGAACAGACATGGTTACCTCTATTAGCTTCAGGGGAATTCACTTAATGAGCTTTCTAACCAGTGAGTGACAAGATCAGATGGTTAATTAAGAGGTCAGTTAAAAAAGTCTAGTAGATGACAATATATCAACAGCAATGTTGTTTGGCAGTACAGGTCTAGGGCTGAAAAAGGTGTAATGCCCCTTCTACCTACCAGATTACTGCCAACAAACTGCAGTACTGTCCTGAATACTGTGATTATTTAGGTACCAGATTAATTTTTCTGAAAATACTTGCTTTTAGTCCGCTTCACACAAACCTTATTAACGAGCTCTCTCCTGAAATCCCTAAGGCCCTGTCCTTACCTTCAGTTTATCCTCTGTTATTGAGCCAATTGCCCCTGGTCAGACAATTCTGTGTCATCCCCACACCTCTAAACGATTGCATGCCTCAATCCTCTCTCTCTTAATCTCATGTATTCTAATGAATACCAGCATTTTCACATAGAAATGGGGCAGCTTGAATAGCAATCGTCTACATTTTTTCAATATCCTTTTCATAATATCATACTCAAAATCAGTCTCAGCTTTTCACAGTGTCATAAGGATCTGTTTGATTTTCTGTCATTTTCCAAAGAATAAACCCTTGCATTCTGTTGAGGTTTTCTGCTAGAACTAAATACTGCCTTATATGAAACCAATGGGAATTCTGACATTGTGTAGCCAGGCATTAAAATTAAGACCTTTTTTGGTAACAGTCTGGAACATAGGGATTATATTTGGGCTCAATATGATTAAATGTACTAAATATCTTTAGACTACTACTTAGATATGCCCAAGGAAAAGAGGTTGCAAAACTGTCTTTAGTTAGATTAAAATTGCCCAATAACATCCTGGAATAAATTAAGTTTGGGGAGGTTTTGGGGGGTTTTTTTATTCCATACCCTCCTTTCTTCATGTTGCATAACCTAGACAATTCAAGTCATATCCAACTGACAATGAACACAATTTTATCTGCCAGGTTATGTAATACTTTCTTTTATTTAATATTACCAAAAATATATTTAAATCAATGCAGCCTTTTAATTTAGAAACTGTCAGTCATCAATTTTTTGGTATTATATCACTACTATTCATGAAGTTATCTTTATGCCTCACTGCCATATACTGGAATTTTGTAAGTGAATAATAAGCCTGGGTAGGTGAAGTACATACTTCTCTTTATTATACATGAATATCTTAGTACTTCAGAATTTGATCTGTGTGTCAGTCCTTCCTCGCTAGTACTGCTATCCTGCATATTGCCTACCTTGTTATAAATAATATTTGAGGCTGCTGCAATGACCCACCAGCAAAGTAGCATTTTATATGCCCGGCCAAATAGCTAGAAGAAAAGACAGTAAAATCTATAGAAGGCACTTTGGTGGTTAATGTCTTCCAAAAGGAAAGGGAACTAACACATAGGATTAGGCAGTGGGGAAGCAAATAAACTAACCAAATGTTCTAGTCCTATTTTAGGCCATAACTTGCCTTTATTTTGTTCCAACCACTCCTTATGACTGCAGTGGGAGAACTGCCCAGTAATAATTGACAATCAGTCAAAGAATACCTTCTTGCAGCAATCAACTTAGTGTAACTCATATTGACTTAGCTACACAGGCTCCATTTTGGTTAAGCTGCTGCCTACAAACAACTACATGCATCCCTGGCCCAAGGCACTTTTTGGCAGCTTAATAATGTACCATGTAGACTTAGTGAGTTCAGCATCTGGACAGCAGATCCTGCTAATTGTTGAAATCCAGTCACCAGTTGGTAGGCACAAACTCAGTCATCCATTACTGCTTTAAAGCCTTAGGATCCAATTTTGCCTTCAGTTATGGGAGTAAGTGTGGACAAAAAGAGGCCCCAGGACTTGGAAGCAGCAACTATGCTTGATTGTGTCAATGCCTGCCAAGCAGTCACCAGATACTAGACAGAAGTCATGCTGGGTGAGAGTTACACCCTGGTAAACGGATGACATAAATGTACTCTTGCTGCCTAGCACATGTGGATGTATTTAGACAAAGAAATAGATATTCCCCTTCTAAAGTAACAAAACATGGATTTTTCAAAATAAAAAACATCTGCCAGTCACCTAAGAGCTGAACTGAGCCCACAAAGAAAGAAAAAAATCAGCATGAAATGTTATCATCTAACAAATATTACTGACCATTTCCCAGTTAAATGTTGGGTTTATTTTTTTCAGCAAATGGTAAAACCACTTAGACTATAAAGGCCTTTTAAGGAAGAGAATACCAATACATGTTCCACTATTGTATTACTGGGTAACGCTTACCAGACTCTTTATTTGCAAGTGAAATTAAAAGTATTTTGAGATTACTAAATTTACCTTTCTGCATCAGACTAAGTAACCAAATACACACCTCTTTCCAAACTAAGGGATAAGGTATAATACGACAGATCTGTGCTTCAACCCATCTAGCCTCAGGACTAGCATACTTTATTGGTTGGGGAACTCTGGGATCTATTAAAAGAGAAATCGGTAGCCTGACAACAACTTCCCTTTCTGTGCCAGTTTTGTGGGGCTATCACGGCAGGGTCCCTGAGGGACACAAGGGCTATGGAAATGCTTCCTGTGGCTGTTCTGCCTGTGCACACCCTGCAGGGTTCTTGAGCAATGCATCCACCTTGGAGGAGGTCCTTGCAGCCAGAAGGCTGCGGGGG